AAAAATTTATTGGAGAAAAAAAGTTGCCTGGGCCACTGATAGATTAAATGACTTTCCTAACATTATACAACCAGTATGTATCAAGGAAGTACTCGAAATTAGGTCTTACTGGCTCCAAAACAGGTCCTCCATCCACTTGACTACACCATGCTACTTCTTAAAATAAACAAAAAAGAAAAAACAGGAGAGTAAAATTACTGGCTGAAATAAAATTTTTCGAGAGCTTGTGGATTTAATTTATCTATTATGTCAGATATTCATTAATACAGAAATAATCAAAAACTGGATTGGATACAAGCAGGACTGTAGTTGTGTTAGTTAAAAAGACAAGATCACAAGTGTTCAAGCAAAGATACTTCGCAGCCACCTATCCTTCCAGACTTATTTCCTATTATTCTTTCAGACATGCTATCAGACACCTGAACCGTACTACTGTTTCCATACTTGACATTCCACGTTCCTATCTTTGCAGTTGTACAAGTTGCCCTCCATATCTGAAAGGCACTCTATTTTGACCCTCATCTCTACCTGAGGATCTTTATTTTGCTTCAATGCTCAGTTCAGATGCTATTTACTCCATGAAGATTTTTTTGAATATCAGTTGTTAATGTTCTACCCCCATTCAAATATCTTGTATATATTGTTTACATGTTGTATCTGTCTTCTAAGTTGTAAAAGACTCCTTGATGCAATTACTTCATTTTTTGTTTTTATATCCTCCCAAATTAGCATAGGACTTGAGGTCTTTAATAAATGTTTGTTGAATAGAATGGCAATCTTAAACTAAAGAATCATCACTACTCAATGGATTGGTGATCACATGAATGTGGGTCTATACTACCATCATCATAGTATGTCTTCTCATTCTCTGTTATCCCTCCCCCGATATTCTACAGAAGATAAACCTAATGTGTCAGAGGCTTCCCTCTGAATTGTTCTGCAATTTATGTGTACCAGTGGAGCACTCTGGCTGTCCATCTGTTATCCCTTGCTCTTTACACAAGACAGGCCCACCCTCCTTTTTCAATCATACATTTCCTTTACAACAGAGGTGTCAACCATACTGGGCCTGCAACACTCCCCAGTGTGGCCTTAACCAGATTAAAATGAAATTGTTAAATATTTAAAAAAATAAATAAAAATACAATAGAACATAATGTTAATATATGATTTTCTAAATACAGGCTTAGTGGCACCTGTTTGACACTTTATATCGTTATATCATCTTTGTATCTTTGATACTTTATATCATCTCTTTGCTTATGTCATCCAGGCAAATATGGTACAGATTACTTTCACCATTCATGCATCTCTCCATTATTCTATATATTTATCACACTTTTGATTCTTTGAAGACTGTATTGTTCTAAGATTCACAACTACCACGAGGAGAACATTTCTATAAATTAATCTTCAGAAATCAAAATTTAGATTACTATGAAATTTGTTTTAAAATGGATAGGGGCTAAGATTTGATTTTCAAAATCAAATTTATTTCAAGAAAAAAGTCTTCAAAAAGGTAAAGGAGAAGAAGAAATGCAAAGGACAAATAATCCATTTTTTGTTTTAAAGAAGCCTGAAAAAATTCTATGTATTCTTTAGGTAGTAATCTCTGAACAAATAAGAATTTAAAAACTTAGTTGTGAGAATTTTTGATGTTAATGTTTCTAAATTTGTTTTAAAATTTTTCAGAAATAATTTTTTACATTTATAAATTTGGATTAGATTACAAAGTATTAGTTAGGACTATTTAACTTCTATTTTTAAGTAGTAATAATCTGACTCCAAAGTAAAAACATAAAAATACTAAACAAAAACATGAATTTACAGACCATTTCATTCAACCCACAAATTTTTTAGATTAGGAAACTAAGACTCAGAAATATTAAGTGGCTTATTCAAGCTAGCATATAACAGAACTGGAACTAGAATCCAGTTATCCTAAATCCTAGTTTATTGTCCTCAGCACAACATGCTGTCTCACATAAATGTTGGGGGAGGAAGAAATGTGTTTTTGTCATTTGCTACATGGCACAGAATACATTTACACCACATTTTTGTTTCCTACCCTCTAGTTTTTAAGACATCTTTCTGACTGCCCACTACTTCCCTGATCCTCACCTTTCCTGTTTCTCCACCACAAGTACACATTAGGTATGGATATTATCTATTATTTTTCTATCCTATATCAAACAATAAATGAGTTTCATTTGTTGCAACCAATTTTTAAAACATATAACAAAATCAACTGAAATATAATTTTAACCTATAAATGAACCTGAAGGAGCTATAATTGTTTGATTAAAGCTCCTTCTTTTTTTCCCCTACTTTTCATTAATGATATACTAGAAGCCTAGTGTTAGGCTATAGAGCCACATTGTTTGAGGACCATCCTATTTAAGTTCAGAAGGCCTGACATCAGCTGGGCAGCGTAATGATAAATTTTGGGGCCTTAGCAATTCTCTATGTCCAGCTCCTGAGTTGCAGAGAGAGCTTAGTTCTGTGTCAGTGGAGGCAGTATCCACACTAATGAAATTACAGGTCCTTGAAGTACACAAAGTAAAATGTTAGGGAGGATTTTAAAAATTGTCATCTTTTACCCAAGTCACAGGAAACTGGTAAAATATATTTCACTTGCACTCTGACAAGGTAAGAATAATAGTAATTTTTGGAACTATAGCAAAATGCAATAAAAAAAAGCCACTCCATATGCTGCCAAATGTGTGAAGGACTTCTAAAATGTATGTATATATGTATGTTTATACGCATATACACATACACACATATATTAAATATAAATACGGTATGATAGATAATTGCTTTTAAAAAAAGGAAGAAAAAAAATGTTTTCCCCCATGCTTATATAAAAACCTACACATCTTATTTGCAAAGATATGTACCAACTGATCATCCTCAGTTTAGATACACACATGAAAAAAATTCATAAGCAGTGCACTCACTCATTCCTCAAATGAAAACCTCAGGCTTCTAGAAAATGGGAAAGCCATACTTCAGCAATAAAAGTTTGAATCACAAAGTATCAGATGAAAACATAGGTAGTGCATTCTCTTTTCTTTTATTGGTTACATTATTTTTAATAAAAATATTATCCAATTCAAAAAAGCCCTACACTAATCACTTTCATCAGTGGTCTCACAAAATGAGGGCAGATTTACTCTCTATATTCAATTCAACATTTATATATAAAAACAAAATGAAAAAACTTTGTGCTAATGCAAGGATGAATACGAGATGAAATAAGAATACAAGGATGAAATTATGAGAATATAAGAATGAATTAAGAAGATTTATTAAGACATACAGAGAATGACACAAGGCAGAATGAGTGCACTTAGGGGGGAAAGTCATGAATTTTGATGGAAGGTTCATTTTCAACAAGAAAGATAGACTAGACTATTAAGAAAGTTGCATCTCAGCCGGGCTGAAAGACAATTTAAAGATTTTAATAGAGATGCTGTACAGAATACAAGCTACATATGAAGGACAGCTGGACAGAAGGTAAAAAGGCACTGAGACGAAAGTAGGCAGAATGACAAATGGAAATAATTAGTGATCCAGCTTGGCTCAAATGAAGGACTAGTGTAAAGATAAAGAGTATGTGTAAACTGGTGTATATGAGGTAAGACAAGGTTGAACATGTAATAGGAGACAGACTGTGGAGAAGACTTTGTGTCAATATATGTGTTTTTGGGTCTAGGCTTGTAATCTCACATAGTCAGTCAATTGTAAATTTAAAAGGTAGCAGGAGTTTACACAGTGGAAGGACAGAAATACCAAGTGTTGTTTTTTACGTTTTTGTTTGTTTTGCTTTTGGTCTAGGCTACTGATTTCACATGAATGGAGAACTTCCAAACAGAAAACTTACTGCAGAATGGAGAGCAACTGTTCAGAAACTGAATTTCTTAAGAGCATAGCCTGGGGCACTTAGAGGTTAAATGACTTGCCCAGGGTAACAAAACTGGAAACTAGGCCTTCCAGACAAAGGCTGGCCCCCTCTACAAGACTCCAAGTTTCCACTCAAGTATCAAAATATGAAATTTAAATTTTATTTGGTAGACAATGAGAGTCCACTAAGAGCTTTTAAGGAAATGAATAGACACTATAAATGCTGACTAAAATGATCCAAGTAATGAATTAGGAAGGGCCAGAAATGAAGGATGGATTAAAAAGACAAACTGTAGGCAAGAAAGGTTAGGAAAACTATTAAAGAAATCTATGCAAATGAAATGAGAACTAGAAACAAGGTAGTTTCAGATGATAAAGGATATTTTAGTGTTACGATTGGCAGAACTTCATAAATGGCTGGATTTAGGGAAGTAGGAATTAAGAAAGGATGAAAGATGGGTCTGAAGTTTCAAGCCTGAGCAACAGGAAAGATAACTGGAGTTATCTATAGAAAAGTTATGAGGAAGACAGGTTTGTAGGTGAGGAGATGGGGAAAAGGGAAAATGAAGGATTAATGAATTAGTTATAGAGATGCTGAATTTAAGGTGTCAGTGGAAACGTCCAGTAGGCACCTGGAATTGTGTAACTGAAGTCTACAAAAGGACTAGGGATGAATATAGATTTGGAAGTTATCTACATTGAGGTGATTAATGAAATCATAGAAACGGATGAAATCACCAAAGGAGGCAGCAACTCAGTCAAAACTATCACAAAACTTTCTCTTTACTATGCTGACAAATTTTGAGTGATCAAAACAAATGACAGAAAATTTAGAGAATTTTATTCTTTGATCCAAGATTATTCCTCCATGTAAAAGAATGGGACAAAATTCAAAATATGTACAATGCTTCTGTAGCTACTCAAATATAGGAAAGTGACAGAATTACTTAAATAGCCCAAGGAAACCAAAAGTTTGAAAGCAGCTCCTATAAGGAATTAAATTGTTGATATTGTCCGTTGCAAAGAAATTTGAAAAATACAGTATGTTCTACTGTATTCTCAGAGCAAATACAGTATTTTTTTAAAATGCTTACCTTGATTCTCCACTACTGTTTCTAACACTTTCTTCATCACTGTGTCCATTCATTGTAAATATTCAGAAGTTTAAAATAAAATATAAATCTTCCCAGTTTACAAGCTGGATTGTTTACTTCAGACTGTTCCTTGCTTCCTTCCAAATGGTCACAAGTTATTTCGGACTCTCTTCAAATTACCTAGAGCAAAGAATCATAATTTTTTAAAAATCAGACTTAAAAGTTCCATAGAAATCACACAAATCAGGCACTTAAAAGCTATCTTGGATTTGCCTAGATATATGATAACTGGATTGTTTTAAAAAGATAGAAAAACTGTTTTGGCACATTTGGTGTTGCGCAACAGTTCATTAATAAACTGATACTCATTAACAATATACAGTGTTGCTCTATAATACCTGTGTCAGAAATGCTGAAAAAATTTGTGGACTGATAAATTTTTAGTAGCAATCTAAAACCAATTCACAAAAATTAGTCCAACTGTAAAGATTAATAAAGCAAAAAATGCTTTACATAATAAAACATTTCATGACGAAAACGAAGAAGTCCAAAAGCCTAGTTGCAGGACGGACAAGGGGCTGGGATATAGATTCAAGACTTGATGATCTGGAGGGACAAGTCTCTTAACCTCTTCCCTAAGCAACTTTTTCAGAATAACCAACTTTCAGTGAGTGGAGAGTACTGTACTTCCAAACTCTTAAGTTCAGTTTATCTATGAAATCTCAGGTCCAGACCAAAAAACATAAAAACAAAGGCAACCATTCCATGTTCTAAAAGAAACAAAACTGTGAGAAAAGCAGAACTGCAGTGTGTATACTGAAAAAGGGGAAAAAAATGAATCTGAGCGAACGTGTTCCTCCAATGTAAAGTAATTGATAAGGAGGCAATAAACTTTAAATTCTTATTTTGTCCAATTTAAAGGGATACTGATTCCAATTTTGGATTTCCAGTACGGAGGTTAAGACACCACACAATAGCTCCACCTCTTTAGACAAGATCCCAGCACAAAACAGAAGAGTCACCTACAAGCCATCAATGAATAAACAAAGGAGATCTCTGGCAGGGAAGCGAAAGGAAGAAGCTGGGGCGGAGACAGCAGATCCTTCCTCAGCCAAAAAGTAACAAGACAGCCTGCTGAAAGCAGAAATGTTGAGTGTAGCTCAGCATAGAGAAAATCCATGTCAAAGATTGTTGCTTTTCACCAAAACAGAAAGAAAAATATTAGCTCAATGGAAACAGAGAATCCCAGAAAGAGACCGGGACTAACTGTAAGGTCCTGGGTCCTTCTATGGAAGGACTGTTGCCTAAGGGTCATTCCTACCACCAACATTTTTCCTGATGTAAAATAAAGGGTGTCCCAAAAATCTTAGTGAAGTTTAAAAGCTGAAAACTGCACTAAAACTTTTGGGACATCCTGCATTAATTCTACTTCTACCCTAAATCCCACATGCCGGAGTTTATTCCTTGATTTGAATCCTCTTCCTAACTCACTTTACAAACTGCACTTACCTTTCCAACTTTTCTTGTTCATTCCTCCTGCCGCTCAGCACAGCCCTCTACTGTGCCAGACCCTTCAGCCTCATTCTTTCTCTCACATCCTCTCCCTTTTCTCAGAAGTCCTCTTCTCAAGACAGAGTCCTTCTGTCAAGGACCTCCCCCTACAGAAGCTCCTAGTGCACATCACCATCCCCTGCCTCTCACTGGCTTCATCCGACATTCTCCCTTAGGCTCTTCCATAAACTGCTCCACCCTTGAATTTTACAAAAAGGGGTCCTGCCCCCCCCAGCCCTTCCTCACCCAGTCTTCAGCAGCCTCCTCCTCCCTCCTCCTCCAGCTGCTGCTCTGCACCTCCCGAGATCCGCTCCTTTCCCGCCTCAAACTTCCCCGGGGTGCCCCCTTTTCCTGCACCACTTCCAGCCGCGTCCCGGAGCGCCCACTCCCGCACTCGGGGCCCCGCCCGCCGCCCCCCCCATCTCCCCACGTGCTGGATGCTGCGGGGGCTGGCAGCCAGAAAGTGCTGGCTCCTCTCTCCACTTTCCCCCTCGCTCTTTCAGAGGCACCGCACCGCGGAGGCCTAAGCGATGGCGACTCGGCAAGAGAAGTGGAAACATTCCCCGCTCGCCCTCCCCGCACAAACACGCACACGCGCGCACACACATACACACACAGTTCCCTATCCCACGCGCCGCCTCCCGGTAACCCCCCTCCCCGGCCCCGGCCCCGGCCCCGGCTCCGGCTCGATCCCCTCCGCTGGGCCGCACAGCCGCGAGTCTCCGCTGGCCGCCTTGCCCGCTTTCCCTCCCCCATCCCGCCCGCCCAAGGGCCGCTGGGCCGCTGCACTCGGCCATCACGGAGAAACCGCCTCCGGCCGGGCAGGGCCTCCCTCCCCCCGCAGTGGCGGCCCCCGCTGGCTCCCAGGCCCCGCCATGGCCGGCTCCGCTCCCTTACCTGTGGAAAGGGTGTCCCCGGCCGGCGGTGGGACTCTGCTGGTCTCCCGGAGCCCGGGCCGCGCTGCGGCCGCTGTGGAGAGACTCTGGTCCCGGTCGTCCGGGTAGTGTCTGTGTATGTGTGTGCGCGCGCGCGCGCGCGTGTGTATGTGTGTATGTGTGTGAGTGTGTGTGTGCGCGTGTGCGCGTGTGTACGGAAAGGGAGGGAAAAAGGGAAGGAGGGCGAGGAGGGGAGGGGAAACGCGGGCCTGTGGCACGATCTGGCGATTCTCAGTTGTGGCTACAACAATCAATTCATTATTGAAACACAAACAGAGAGAGGAGAGGAGAGAGAAGTAACGAGCCGTACGCGAGCGCGCGCGCTCCCGCTCCCGCCGCTTATCGCGTCCCGGCCACCGCCATGACGCCAAGCGAAACCACCTCCTCCCGCTCCTCCCCCGGCTCCGCCTCGGTCACCGCGTCGCCTCCCGCGCGACGTCGGCTCCCCGCCGCCCCCTCCCCTCTCCAGGAGCGCAGCGGGCTCGCGCACGTCGGGCCTCGAGGCTCGCGCGCGGTGGGGAGGGGGCGGGGTCGGCGGCGGCACTCTGGGCGTCGCTCTCGAGGCTGCCCAGAGTCGCGGCCTTTCCTGCCCCCGTGGTCTCCGCGGGCTCGGCCTCGGTCTTGGCCGGGAGTCGGAGGCGGAAGCTCGTGCGGCGTTGGGCGGCGCAGCGCGGGTGAGTCGGCCGCGGAGGCTGCGCGGCCATGTCTGGGCGGCCGCAGGCCGCCGAGGCGCAGCGCCCCGGCCTCGCGCCCCGGACGCTCTCCGAGAAGTCGCGGCGCCGGCCGTCTGGTTTGCCGCCTCGCGTCGGTCGCCCGAAAGCCTCGCTCTTGGGCAAGTCGTCGCTCTCCCCCGACTTGGGCAACAGCCTGTTTGGAAGACCCGGTTTGGGGTTGCGCTCGTTTCGCGTGGGCCTGATTCGGGGAGCGGGCATGGGGCTGTGGAGGCGGGGGCGACGGCTTGCTTTTGCTCGGGGTGGGCCTTGGAGCCAGGGCTGGGAGACCCTGGCCCAGCTCCGGCTCGCCTTGGAGAGCCGAGAGGTTACAGCAAAGCCACTGTAACTTGTGGGACTCGATGTAACCGATGCTTAGAGTTTCTTTTCTTTGCTTATATTGCAACATCGGGCCTCGGCTACTCCTTTTCTCCCTGTGTAAAACAGTAATTGTCCTCTTCTAGCTCCATCGCTTTCCCAGCTAGCTTCGTAATGCGTTTCAAGCTTAGTTTTTTTGTTTGGTTTTGTTTGTTGTTGAAAGGCGTTTTGTTGGGGGGGGCTTTCTTTGTATCTCTTCTCCATAGTTAACACTGATCAGTGATCGTAACAACTAAAAAGCATCTAATAGGCACTTAATAAATGCATGTTAATTTTCTGTCAAGGCGTTAATTGAAATTGAGACTCATAATTGCCCACCTCATGTCAGTGATCTTGAACCACACCAATTTCAATCCTTTTAATTTTTCTTTTATTCTGACCCAGTGGATTATTTTTATATTCTAATGTTACATTTGGTAAAGGTGAAATGAGGCAAACTGTATAATATCTCATCTCCCAATAGGTTAATAACTCTAATTTTGCATAATGTTCTGTCTCTAGTTGATTCTTCTCGAGACAAATATTTTAAATACTCTACTAACATAGTAGGCAACTGGATTATGGCTTTGTTCAGCATGTTAAAAGATTTTTGGAAAGTTTATTTTAAACTACTAGATCAAAACAATTTCATAAAACATAGTTTAACTGAATCTCATCAAGGTATTTGTCATGGTGTCTCATGACTTCCTAGTTGAACAGATCTGTATAATACATTTAAGTAGATTCGGACTTGGTAGCTTGACCAGATACAAGTAATGATTATTAATGTTGCCAGTGTCTTATTAACCCCTGACAATCTTCTTTACATATGGTCAAAATGTCTTCTAAAGTAGGAGTCAGTCAGTCAACAGGCATTTTTAGAATACTTGCTCAGTAGCTGTGATACAGAGAAAATCGAAAAGACTGTGTCTGAGTTCAAGGAGTTCACATTCTAATAGGTGAGATAGCGTATAAATAACTCTGCACATCTCAGACAGAGAGATTATATTAAAGGTAATCTCAGAGAGAAGGCACTGTTAGCAAGAATGATTGGGAAATGCTCCCTGTCAAAGGTGAAATTTGAGTTGAATCTTGAAAGGAAGCCAGTAAAACTAAGAGAGAGTATACCAGAAATGGTGGACCACCATTACAAAGAGATAGAAATGAAATGTTTCCTAGGAAGTTGGTAAATATAAACTTTTGTTAAGGGCTAATGGTTTTCAGACACTGTTAAGTACTGTGGATACAAAGGAAGGCAATTAGACACTCTCTGCTCTTAGGGAACTCACAATCTAATGGGGAAAATAACATGCAAACAAGTTGACCAGTATAGCTTGATCGTATAGTGCGTAGAGGGCAATAAATGTAAGAACACAAGGAAGATTGGAAGCAACCAGGTTCCTTTAAATGCCTGGAATGTATTCTCCTTACCTTTAATCTTTTAGAATCCCTAGCTGCCTTCCAGGCTCAGATCGGGTGCCAGCTTCTACTAAAGCCTTTCTTGATCCTTCCCCCCACCTCTCTTCAATTTATCTTGAGGCATGCATGTTTTAATCCGTAGAAAATGTAAGCTCCTTGAGGGAAAAATAAATTTATATGGAATGTAAGAATTTATATAGAATTTATTTTTGCCTTTGTTTTCTCAACACCTAGGACATTTTTTAAATTGTAGGTGCTTAATAAATGTTTGTTAATTTAATGGATGTCTCTAGTGAATTGCCCCAGGGATCTGTCCTTTACCTGTTGAATTTGTTATTTTTATCAGTGACTTGGATAAAGGCAAAGATAGCATGCTTTTGTTGACAACGTGAAACTGGGAAACAGGGTGACAGAATTGAGATCCCAAAAAGTTGACAGATTTTTGTGAGAAATCCAATCTATTAAATAAAATTTTAATATTTAAAAAAAAAGTCCTCCATTTTGGTCCAGAAAGTCAGTTGACTCACAATTAGGAGGAGAGATGAGACAGAAGAGTTCATGTGAAAAAGACGTAGGGTTTTTGTGATTAACTCAAATTACATTTGCCATCTAATCCATTTCCAGAAATATAGTGTTAAGAATAAAAGGTAATTATTACTCTGTATATTGTTTTTTTCTTAGACCAAATCTGGAGTACAGTGTCCAGTTCTCAGTGCCACATTTTCTGAATGACATTTATAAGCAGGTGGGTATCTAGGATGGGTGAAGGGATTTGAAACCATTCCCTACAGGAACAGTTGAAGATCATGAGAATGTTTAGCCTGGAAAAGAGAAGATATTAGGGGGAACGCTATCACTGTCTTCAATTATTTAAGAGCTGCCATGTGGAAAGTGATTAGATATGTTTTCCTTGGCCCCAGAAAGTAACAGAACTTATTATTAGAAGTTATAGGAAGAAACTTTTGGCTTAACGTTAGGGAGAAAAAACTCCCACTAATTTGGCTGTCCAAAAATTGGGCGAAGTATGTTAGTATAAAATTTAATTTAGACTAAGGTAGTGGAAGAGGAAAAGAAACATTGGACAGAAAGACACACATGAATTAAAAATCTCCTGCTGGTAACTTGCTGTGTGACCTTGAGCTCACCATTTTCTCCCTTAGCTCCAGCTATGAAAAGGGAATATATCTAGTCATTTTAAGAGAATTTGTGAAGATTAACAAGATTATAAATTTAAGTTACATTCCCTCAAGTAACTAATAATTAATTAAAAACCAGTGCAGTATAGTTGCACCAAGCAAGAGATGCCTCAATTCAGACACTTTTTTTCCTCACTGACTATTAATTTACATTACTGGAATACAAATTAAGTAATATAGGGTCAGAGACAACAGCTATCATAGCAAAAAAACACTTAGTGAAAATACTTAAATTGCAAAAACAGTTGTTAATACAACATTAATGGAAATGTTGGCTATAAAAAATAACAGTATGATGCCAGCCTCAGACTGGAAATGCAGTATATCTTGAAAATGAGCTTTTGCGTGGCCTTAGCCTTTAGGTATGGTTAAAAAAAGAATAAATTTAGCATTCTATATTCTTTATGACTTGATAATTCAGCCACTAGGAAGTTCAGAATTAAATAAAGGGATTCCCAGTTGTATTTTGTAAAGGTAAAATCTTTCCCAACTCATGTCTTGTCCAATAAACTGCTCCCCATTTAAGAATGTGGTTGCCATCCTAGTACTTTAATTCCCAAGACTTGCAAAAGGGCATTCGGTCTGTCAACAAGTATTTTACTATGTGCATTTACTGTATCCGAAGGCACTGTATGAAATGCTAGGGATTCTAGAAAGACTAAAGCAATCCCTGCCTTTGGAATATACATTCTAAAGAGGGAAAATCACATGTAAATAGCTAGATACATGCAAGATATATACCAAGTAAGTGGGAAGATTGAAGCTTTATTAATTCAAGGTAAGTAGGAAATTGGAACAATACTCTTTTGGTTCTTTTTTTTTTAACAGCCAAAGCATTGTTGCAAAATGCTTTATCCTTAATTATCTAGACTATTTTAATCCCGTACTTCACTTTCCCTTGTTTTTATACTACTTGATTAGCTTTAATTAAAATTGAGCATACCCAAGGCACTGGAGAAAATCTAGTGGGAGCAGTTTTTTATGTTTGAATCTGCAAGAGATTTGCCAGTTTTATTGTGGGGAATGTAATCCTAGGATAAATCTGATACAAATTATTTGATGAAGATAAGTAAATATTTTTCCTTGAAAATTTGATGCAAAGGATAAAAAGATGTGGCTTACATATTTTTATATTTATGGCAGAATACTGATTTCCAAAAGAATACCCATGCCCAGGAAACAACACAGGGAAATAAACACTTGAGTCCCCCTGATACCAACCCCAGGGTCCATTCCAAAGAGCATTGAAAGGGATGATCTATGCTCAGTACTGCACTTCTATCTCTCCTTCCCTTAGTACACACACCCTTACTTGAGGTGAGATCCAAAAGAGGTTGCATCAAATTCAATGCTGTATGATCTTCCAGTAGTAAAAACAAAATCTATACCATGAGGTTAGAGGAACATACCTTAATACCTTGGCTTTACTGTTAGAAAACTCAAATGAAAAGCAGTTAAATGAAACAAAATTAGATCAAAATAAATAGAAAAAAATGGGGTTATTGATTGAGGAAAAAATACTAACAATCATCTTTATAAATTTTTAATTTTTGTGGGGGTGCTTATTTATAGCTATAGTGTATGGTTTTGTTGGTAACTTGGAGGTGCTAAAACATCGACCTTATAAATATGCAG